GAGGCATTTTAAAGTACATTCAAAATCGTCGTATGCCATAATGACGTTAATTCGAGGTACATCCAAGTAATCAAACTTTTCTAATGAAAGTAGACCACCCTCTCTGAAATTCTCACAGTCTGTCGTCATAATGTGTTAACGTAAGTGAAAGAGTGAAGAAAAAAATTAGAAGGCAAAACAAACAACAGCAGGGACGAGAATGATCAAACTCAAATCGATTGGCTAAAGAATGGTAAAGAATGAATACTGCCGAATATCTTATTGGAATTTAAACTCGGAGGTAAGCTGACTTTTTTCAAAAATTCAGAAATACAGAAAAGGAAGCAGGGGTTTTGCATTTCCCTCTGCGCGTAGTTTTCTTTTGTCATAAGTCTCAGTTCATGGTAAATATCAATTTCAAATTTTTGCATTTCATCTTGTCAACGCCCTCGAGTTCATGAATTGTTTGGAGGTTGTTGACATAGGCTAGACATTTCGCAATTTTTTTGACCAAGGAATTCCCCAATTTATAATGATATGTCACCTTTCAAAATTAAAGGGACTGACATTATTCAGGCTTAAAAGACAATTAAACAACACTTCATCTTATACTGCTTTTCTCAAATCAATACACAATCCGTGACACCAGCTTTAAAAATCTTTTGCCTCTTGCTTGACCATAACTATGAATTCAAACTGATCCACTTTTTTTATATTTTAGTTTGTTTTTCATGATGAACCGCTCATGTGGTGAGAGGGTGCGATCAAGTCTTATAAAGAGTAACTGCTTACTTAATGATGTTCATGCATTCCCGCAAGCTTTTTCTTAAATCTTGATTAATAATTTCCCTTCTACGACGCGTCTATGGATAGCTAAAAAGAACAAAAGAAAACAGGAAAGCAACGAAAGAACCCTGAAAAGCAGGGAGAAAGATGAGTTGTGTGTATAAATTCCATTAAAAAAATTGAAGGCCACCTCACACATAGTTCAAGACCTCAAGGTGGTGACCATCAAATCTCTTCTTACAGTAAAAGCACCTCATCACAATTAAATAGCCTAAGAATTAAAGAACAGATCGCAAAAGAGGACGAGGACTCTCACTAACCTTGTGAACACACAGCCTTGACCAGCAATAAATAGATCCAAACGAAAAACATCGCTGATGCCGTAAGGGGCTCGCTAATTTAAGGTTAAAAAAGAGAATTGGGTGTCTTGACTGTACGCATCTAAAGCTCTTGCAGCTCGCGTTTTCGAGAACTTTATTCTCACCTCGAAAAAATCTCCCCAGAGTCTCTAGTTCCATTGTAGGAACAATGCAATAACATTTCTTCAAAAGCACTGTCTGTAGTGTTAGCGAAACCCATTGTTGTTTTCCTTGCCCTCCATAAATCATACACAGACTCTCGAGGTCGAATAACCTTTGCCGAGCCGGGCAGACTCGGCCTTCCTCTAGACCGCTTCTTCGACGGCATCAACTTTTCAAATGACGTTTTTCACCGTCATACATGTAAGAATTAAAAACCATTTACTGATATGGATACTACGATAGTTTGTTGTTCGCACATGATTCAAGATGGAACTTTGAAAGCCCTAATTAGTACGATGGAAGGGGATATCAAAGCGATTCCGCAACTACGAGGAAAATAGCGTATGTTTCATATATGAAAAATGATCCGGGCGCGCAAGGCATCTCGGTTGGAAAAGGGCCTTTAAGTCTGGACTGTTCGAGGTTTTTCTTTTTTTTATCTTGGGTAAACTCTGGTTGATCCCGTAAAGAGAATTATCAGTGAGATTCTAATTATCTAGGATCGTTTTAAATGATTTGTACATTGTTTCTGGTGGTTCTAAACATGTTTTGCTCTGTAGACTGTTACTAACTTCAGCATCTTCACATAGATAGTTTCGTTATAGTTGTGATACCCTCCATAACTAGATTTGTCTCTGATTATTTCCATTGACATATGCGAATGTTATCATGATAATTTTAGCTCGAGTTCCAAATACTGTTTTATACTAGTTGTCCCTTGAATATTTCTATATAGATATTTGAAGATATGTTAGTGCTTACAAAACAGTTCAGTCAATAGCCATTATTCTAATGCATGTGTAGGGAAATATGCGGCCCTCCTGTGCCAAAACTGATCCAGGAATGAACATCACGGCAGTTATCCTTGTTGTTGGCGACGATGCCAATTCTAACTTTGGAAGCTTTATCCTTCCAGTAATCATTCTCCGGTGGGATATTGAACCCTTCTTTATTACAGTAAGGCTGCAAATAGGCTTGTGGAAAGGTTAGTGACTTCCACGTGTTACAACCCGACGAGGTAGCGCGGTAGCGTCCATCAGCATTCAGTGAGTACAGCGAGTCGGCCTGCATGTTGATCATAAACGAACCTGAGCAGTTCGTTGATATTCATACCAAGACAAGTTTTGGGAAACGCAGTGTTCCAGTGGGTCAGTAACCTGGTCTCCTCTTGGTCAAACCCAGTCGATCCTCTATGAAGGGTGTATTCTTTCTTGTTTATCCACAAATTGGAATCATAATGAAAATTTTGCTGATTGGGAAAAGGAGAAAATCATTTTTGAACAGTTATGAACTTTGAGTAACTAATTTTTCCAAAACGTCCAGTCTGTGTAAAAGAAAATATTAGCCAGCATAAACTCATTGGAAACTCAAAGGTGTTACACCGATGACAGATAACGTTTAACACTTATATTAACACTTATAGACCGTGCAAAACTTTTTTAACATTTTGACAACAAACAACGACAAAAAACTATCTGGAAGGGACCATAAGTATTGTTTTAATGAATTAAGAACTAGTAAGTCACAATTAAAGTCACATCGCAAAATACAACACCCTTAGGTTTCCCATCGTGGTTGATATTTTCTGTTGTATCTTGATTTAGAATTATCAAAACCCTCTCTGGCTAAAAGGAGACTACAGATACAGAAGTGTAAAAACTAGCAGGGAAACGGTTTTTCTTAAGTTGAGGGAAATTACATCAGAATGAAAATCTTTTAAAACAGTCTAGGTTTTCTTAGATTCTCAAGCTATAATAGATGTAATATATCCTTTATACGTGTATAGTTACACTTTAATCGCCAGTTTTAGTTGGGGCACATTCGGTCAGGTGATGCACTTAGAATTAAATAACTGATGTATTATGAATAAGAGTATAGCCAAATTCACCTTGACAAGTTCTTTCATCCCCAGAATATCCAACTTTACATTCACAATTGTACGATCCCTTAGTATTGTTGCACACAGCATTAGCACCGCAGCTGTGCTCCTTTGCAGCACATTCGTCAATATCTGGAAATACATCAGAGTGTATTTCATAGTTTTTTGTTAAAACAGCGCTTTTCAATGGCCTTTCAGGTTTTAAAAGTTGTGAGTCTACCTATTCATGTAAACATTGTTACCTCCATCGCAAGTCTGACCATTGTATCCATCAGAACACATACAGCGGTAACCTTAGTCAATTAAACCGCTTTGACATTTGGCGTTTTGCTTGCATGGATTGGTAATACAAGCACTCCGACATAATAAAGCAATAATGGTAGTGATAATATTACTAATAAAGACAATAATAATGATAATAATGAACATAACAATAATTGTAATATTTGTATAATAATGATGATAAAGATAATGCCGATGATAAGGATGACGATGATGATAGTAGTGGTAATAATAACTGCCACGGGGGCATGCAATTTGCACTCTGTATGGAGTTGGTAATAAAGACGCTCAGACATCCTATTCTGTGAAAAATAATACAATTTCCTGAAACCTGATCATTGCAACTCATACATGGCTATTCTTGTCAATAACCTCAACGAAATAGAGAACTACTAGAGCATCATTCTAATAACTGAATTGATGGCAAAAGTCAACCGGAAAAGTTAATGAAGAGAAAGACAATTTTGAATCCCTTACTTTTGTCTTGTTGAGTGTCAGTAACATGAAGTTAAGAAAAATTATAACATAACCAAAGTAAAGCGCGCGCTCTGATTGGTCAATTTAGCGTCCCCCATTTGCCCATGGGTGTACGCTGCTGACGTGAGCAAATGCAAAGACTATTTTTCCGCGCGCGCTTGTTTTTTCTGGTCACGTAAGATTTGTTAAATAAAAGGGAACTCTTTAGCTACAATGTATCAATGTTATGTTATAAAACAAATGGTAAACACCACAGCGTACACTATTGAGTTATGGATGCACTTGGGAGGTTTGCTAAGCACTCAAGAAGCTAGAGTCGCTCTCGGCTATCGCCTCGAGCGACTCTTACGTTTTTTTTCAAGTCTGATTTCCACTATTGCTCAAATAGTGCTTTACTGCGAAGGATCGTTCTTATATACGTCTCATAACCGCAGTTCACTCATATGTTTCATATGTTTGTTGTTGTTCAATATTGCCAGTGTTGGTAAAAATACGCTTCTCCGTCTTGCTATCGCTGAAAATAAAGAGGCGAATGATACAAAAAAAACGTCTATAGGTGAAAAAAGCTGTTTTGTCTCATTTCAGCCAAAAAATAAAAAAAAAAGAAAAGAGAAAAAAAAATTCACCAATGAAAGTTTCGATTTTCGACCGTGAAGATATTGAAAACTGCATTAAAAGCAGCCCAAAGTCACTTTCCTTGAAAACAAGTTATATTTAGAGGTAAGAAATTGTTTACTGAGACCAAACCCGAACTACCTACCCCTCCCTCGGATTCCAAATCAACAGTTTCCCTCCATTGATGATAACTTTTCCAAGAGTATGTGTGACAAAAATGCTGTTCGTAAAATACATATGATCAGAATATTGCTAACGTGGATTTTGTTTTGCTATTCTTAACGCTAATTGCTCGATCTATAAATGAGCTTGGCTTTCTCAGAAAAAAAAACGCAACTAGACTCTGATTCTCTTTAAAAGAGTGGCATTGTTTGTTGATATGTCTGTTGATTTTCCTGTAATTAAAGTGCACTTGTTATTTATTACTACTTCATTAACTCTACGAAGAAATAATTGTGCATTTACGATACAATTTTAGAAAGTCTATATTGTTTTAATTTTTAGTACTTTTTACTACAGTAAGTACATGTGCTACTACAAAGCGCGACATCCGACGGTAATCGTTTGCATTACTTTTGCACAATACTGTAGTACATTAATATCAATACACTACCCTATTTGCAGTCACTTGCGTCCTGATTTCACGCTTTCGTCCTTTTTTTACTTCCAAATTATTCGGTCTCCCTGTCAGTACAAAATCTAAATGAGCCGGAAGAACCATTTATCATTATCTATTATTTCTAATAATTCTGAAATACTTTCCTGAATTTAGCCTGATGTATGAAATTCTAATTTAAGTAACATTAACCCGAGTGCATTTCTGAACATTCGTGTACGTAAATGATGATGTTACATTAGGGCCCGGGTGTAATCTGCTGACGAAATTTTATTTGGCTCCACCAAATGACTTGGCAAAAACTGTTACCGCTGAACTTTTATTTGTCAATCATGGGCACACTGATAAAAAGTAACACATTTTTTGACCAAAAGTGTCAATCTAGCAGTACCTAGGGTCAACTTGGACCTAGACTCAGCTAGAACGTAAAATTCGGAGACATAACAGCCGTAATTTAATATTTTGGAAGCCATCTACTTGAAAGACTTGCCCTTAAAGAGCGAGATCAATGTCTCTTGAGTGAGGTTATACATCAGTTGTGGCTATTAATTTTAAAAATTGTCAGATTTCCCGACTGACAATAGTTTTATGTGCTCTTTTCACTCTCTTTACTTTAACTCGTTAGTAAAGTCGACTTTTAGGGTCGGTAAAGGCCTTTGGTGTTCCTATAATAAACAAAAATAATACATGGTTGTTTGTAGATGGAATTAGTCTTATCTTGTTCAACTCCATATCTCGGCAGAAGTGAGGGCAGCGACCAAGTGAAATATTGAGTCGAACACGAGAATTCCTTACCCAGGCACGCCCATGTATTATTCCCTATGTACATGTGCTCTCAGTTTCTGGGAATGCATCTTCATAATACTGCTTTATATTTGTAATAGTGTTTCATCAGTGTGCATGATAATCTGTACAGATAATTAGCGTTTATTGAGGCATGCACTCTTCGTCTGGTTTTTGTCGTTGCTATTGTTCATGATATGTATCACGGCATGTACAGTTCTCAATCGTCACTGCACCAAGATGTACCCCATGGCTTTAATAAACTTCGGCCCATTATCAAGACCGCTCTTGTTTGCAACGATTCCACAAGTGTTCGTGTCATCATGCGGCCCTCCTGTACCAAACCCGATTCTGGTATCGACATCACCGCAGTTATCGGCATTGTTGGTGACAAACCCGATTCTTGCTTTAGCAGCTCTATCCGTCCAGTATGGCTGTTCTGAGTACACATTAAACCCTTCTTTATTGCAATAAATCTGCGAGGAAGCCTGAGGACCAATCAGTGACTTCCACATGTCGCGACCCAATGAGGTGTTGCGATATTGCCCATCAGCGATCAGTGAGTACAGGGAATCCGCTTGCATGTTGATGACAATGAACCTGAGTTGTTCGTTGATCTCCATACCGAGACAGATCTTGGAGAAAGATGTGTGCCAATAACTCGGTAACTTGGTCTCCACTTGATCAAACCCAGTCTCTCCCCCAAGAGGGTTATATTCAGTGTTGTTAATCCAAAAATTAGAGCTATGATGGAAAGTTCGCTGTTCGGGGAATTGAAGAAATCTATCGTTTAATTAACAGTTTTTTAAAAAAGAGCTAAATAAATCAGTCACAAACAACGACCAACACAGACAAAAAAGTCATAAATGTAAGCCGATATAAACATGATGGAAAATAAAAAAAAAAACAACAATAAAATCAAGTCGAAAATCTAAAAGTGTAGTAAGAGTTCTAATGCTTTTATGATGAGTTCATTAGGAGCGAGTCACACTCAATGATAGATCGCCAGTGCCCTTCCATACAATTAACAAGTTACCCTTAGATTTCCTTCTAGCTTGATTAATGAAGAGTTTTAATTATTTTAAGGATACGTAAACCATAACACAAATCTTTTGAAATCTCTATTTTTTCCCATACTAAGAAGATGAATCATTAGCATACATGAAGTTCTCACCAAAAGGCCATGATCCACTCCCACATCTTATATTCACCGAGTGATAGAAAAAGGGTGGCATATTTTGAACTCAACATCTTAAAGATAAATTTTTCAAGGGGCTAAAGGTTACTGTTTGTATGCCACAAAGAGAGATCGATAAAAGATAAAAAAATAACTTTAAAGAAAACCTTGTTGCCATCAATCTTCATAACAGGGGTCCATGCTCCCCTTCCACATCCATCTATTTCCACGTGACAGAAAACGGAGGTTGGCATCAAGTCAAAATGGAGAACAACGACACCACTCACGCTTAATCTATCAAAG